GGTCGTTACTGGCCAATTGCTTCGATTGCTGCTCAGTTGATTGGCATCCCAGGACGGTAATTGTTTTTCCCACATCAATCATTTTAATTCCAATTAAAAATTGCATGTAGAAAAATGGGAAAGGTATCTAAAAGAAAGAATATCTAAAATTGCAATGCGTTTGAAAAAATCTTCAAATATTTTTTGATACGGTTAGAACATTAGAATATTAAATATTAAGCGGTTTTTTATTTGTTGTGAATGGTATACTATGGGATAGCGTCTGAACCAAGTTTCCTACTATTGAAAAATATTTCTAATTTGAATTTTAAATTGAATTAAGCTTGAAACTCGGTCGTAAATTTCATTCTAGGTTTGAAAAGTAAATTCTAGGTAAATTTCATTCTCGGTCGTTTGAAGTTATTTCATTCTAGAACTTGTTTTCGTATTCAAACCAGCGAGGGAGGCATTTGCACGAATATGACTAAACTGGATCTATCACCTTCGTGTGGGATGCGAAAAGAGCATTTTTATCGCTTCAACGAACCATAAATAACACATAAAAATTTGTTGCTCAATTTTGATATTTTTCTTTTTAATCCTTATAGTAACTCCAGCAAAACTAGTCACAACTTGGTCCACTTTCAGTCAATTTAACCAACTATGCTGATTCATTCTAACATTAAATTTAATTTGCACATTTCTACTCTTAATTAATTACAATTACAGACAAATATCTACCAATTGAAATCAGCAGTACAGCTCGCCACCCTATAATCAAGACTTTTCATAAAATTCTTCTAAAATGAAATCCTAGAATTATGGCATACATCTGCTACACACTTTGAATTAATTAGCACAATTCTCCATTCGGATTCAGTAGTAAGTACTGTTTCTTAACTATTTTTAACAATTCATTGAATGATGTCCTAGATGTACTATGATGAAAATATAACGAAGTTTCTGATATGTTTTTGTACATATGCTGGCCAATTCAAACTTATTCTAAATAGAATTTGAATAATCAGTCGAAGTGCACCGCCACGGTGCACTTCAGTCTCGCACAAGACACCGCAGTCGCGAGAGCAGCACCCCACCTTCCAGCAAGACGCGCTGCCGACAACTGACTGAGTGAGGCGCAATAATCCCGTAGACCAAATTTACGCTCATGTTCGTCCGGCTAATGAAAGTTTCAACAATACCACAAATGAACCAATTACTACAGTTCTAAATACCATTGTAGGTGGAATAATGATGAATGTATAAAGTATTGTCGAAGAACCTATATACTGTAAATGTCGGAGAGTATTGACGTCAATACCTGACTGCATGTGTAATGCATTAGGTTAAGTTGCCAACAAAAAATATTTCGTACTTGAAATTTTTTTATTGTGCTCATAAGATAGTTCAAAATATTTCGAAATGTCTATAAATTTTTATGGTATCAAATCGGATTATGCATCACACATGTTAACTTCATTATTCCGTATATTCTAGATAATCCGCAAAATAATCCTAAATGGATCATTAGAAACGCATGAATGCAGGTGAGAATCGAGCTTTCTGATTGAGTCCTTATCCAAATTTTTTTCTGAAACACTCAAAATATCATTATTTGTCTTGGCCGCCTCCGCAATATGATTAAACTTTGAGATAATGCACAGCTGAGACAACATCAACTGACGACGAGATGACATCTAACCTTTAGTTTAAGTGAAGGCAGAGGTGGGCAGTAGCGCGCTACATGTAGCGGCCGCTACTAGCAGCCGCTACATTTTCAGTAGCGGTAGCGGTAGCGGCTCTATATTTAAGGCAATGTAGTGGTAGCGGTAGCGCCCGCTACATATTTAAGTAGCGATACGAGGTTTTGCCGCTACAGCGCTACCGCTACATTTATAGATAAAGCCTTTAGATTTTACTTAAGGGGACCGGCTACCCTCCAACAATTTTTTCTTGTTTACAGACGGATCGTTTTGAAACTTGGTACACATATGTAAAACAGAAATCTAAGACCTTTTTGTTTGTGTAAATTTAAAAAATGAAAGAAAACGTGGAACTAATAGAAAACGGCAAATAAGGGGTACCCTAAAAAAGTTCATAACTTTTGCAAATCACATGCTACAATGTCGAGACACATATCATTCGATTTGAAACAACAATATCTAGCGACTGTAGAGCCCCGATTTTTTATTTTCCTCATAGTTTTTTCGCGTTCTTTCCATTTTTTTCACATTTTTACCCCCCACCTTCCTCCCCCTCCCATATATAAGTCAAACCATGCACATTAAAAAAAAAAGGCTTCTAAAGTCGCTAGGTATTGTTTTACAAATCGAATGGTATGTCTCTCATTGCCGTAGCTTGAAAACTGTTGAGTTATAATTTTTTTAAGATGTCGTTTTTTGAATTTTTAAATTGTTCAGGGGAGCCAAATAAAGTAAAATTCATTGAAAACAGAAGAATGCGCCCAAAAAGTCTTGATATTGTAGCCCAAGCTTTCCCATTGCCAATTATTTGCATTCAAGGTACCAGCACGCGTCTTTGGTTAGGTTAATTGCAATAAAGTTGCATTGATATGTTTTAAAAATGTTTTATTATCATTAAATGTTAATGAGTAAATCCCAATAGCAGAAAAATAAATATTTAGAGATTTCCAATAATTTTGGCCATTGTAGCGGCTAATGTAGCGCGCTACATTTTACTGTAGCGGTAGCGGTAGCGCCCGTTACAATCTAGTGGGTGTAGCGGTAGCAGTAGCGCCCGCTACATTTAGAGCATGTAGCGGTAGCGGTAGCGCCGCTACATTTCCAAGTAGCGCTGCCCAGCTCTGAGTGAAGGTAAATGAAACTTATTCTTCTATGTTAGCGTAGTTGTCGCATGTTGAAGAAATCATGATCAATGCCTGACTTATTCAATCAATGCTAAGCTAATAACATGACTGGAAATGCTAGATCTATTTCTCGCCAGGGGTCTGATGTCGAATCAAGCGGACGACCAAGCTAAGCGATGCCAAAGATGTTCGCGGATGAGACTTTCGTGCGAGCGTACGCGGTGTCGTGAAAGAACAACAATTAATGTTCTTGTTTCATGCTGTTCGTTGCTCCATCTTTGTTATCTTATGCTCCAATTATTAAATGCCGACATTTATTCGTGTTTAATTGTTGAAATTTTAGAATATTTCATTCTCGTGTGCAATTAACTTAGGAAATATGTAGATAACCTACAATTATCTAACTATTTAAACACAACATAGGAGTAATTTTATAAAAATGAGTTCATCTATACAGGATTGTTTCAATCGTCGACCGAAACAAAACAGAATTCAACAAAATTATCGAACAAAATTACTATCGAGTTCTAATTTTTCTTTTTGGAACCATGCTTGTAATGGGAGCCGCTGCGTTACACTCATAAATTAAAGAGTTTTGCGTGCTCCTCCTCAAGTGCTGGCGCCACTAATTGCAGACGCAATTCCGGAGTGTAACTGCGATGGAAGGAACGTTCATTTTGATCTGTCAGACTTCATCATAGTGAGCATAAATTGAGGTGTGACATGGCAGCGCTCTTCACCTCGCCTGCGTCACTCGAGGTGTGACATGGCAGCGCTCTTCACCTCGCCTGCATCGCTCGAGGTGAAGGCATGCATCGCTATTCTCTTCGTCAGCCACAATAAGAAAAGAGCGCCCCATAACACACCTAGGGCGATGCAGGCGAGGTGAAGAGCGCTGCCATGTCACACCTCAATTGATGCTCACTGTGATGAAGTGTGACAGATCAGATGGACACCCACGAACATGCATCGCTCTTCTCCGCGTCTTCTCGCTGAGCCTAATTAACGGCCATGAATATAACGATTTTCGTTACTCACTCCTCCTTCTGCCTGCCGATGATTGATGTTCGCGATACCGTATTTCCTGAGCTTCAGTTGCAAATTTGATCAGTGTTTTTGTGATTCTATGTATCATATAATTCATTATATGCATGAGATTAATTGAAAATTTTACGTTCGATTAATTCAATGCAGATTTTCTTCAATCAATAATGCCTGAGTGATGGCAATGTTTGAGCGTCAAGTTGATTTATTATCAAATGATTAATGGAAAATTTTTATTGCGTTAGTGAAACTCTCCCCACTGCAGGGTGAAATTTATTTGATAATTCAATGGCGTAATTTTATATTTAATTGAAAATTAATTACAATTTAGTTTTTAATAATTTTAATTTTATTGATTTAATAGCCATAGGTTTGAGCTTCGGAAAGCTCACATCGTTTTTCGGTGTCGCTAGAGGCGGAGCTTGGTCGCCGTCAAAGGAGGTGCTTGCAGCATGGCCTTGAATTTGTGCCCCTAAACGATCTCTGAGTGCATGTTATCTGGGATCTTGAGGGTCGTCGGGACATAACATCTCGGCGAACATGACCGTGCAATGTCATTTGCTTGATAAAGACTTCCGCTAAAATAAGAATACGGAACAAATCTTTTCAACAGCGTAACATTCCCAGCGATGGTCAGAACTGAAATTTCTTTGTTGTACAATCGGAGTAGGAGACTAAGTCTCGAGGCTTCCAATAATTAATTTTCCGAATCGCAAACTAAATTAATAAATATACCTATCAAACAATTCATGCGAAATAATAATTCACATCGAGTCCTACTAATCAATATATTTTACATTAAATAATAATGAATGTCAGGACCTAACACACGATACATAACTCCGCTGAGGCTTCACATCGCACAATATTCTATCAACGTAAAACTTCCGCATTCCAACTTTTGTAAGTTCAAAACTTATATGTAAATGAATAAATTCACATTTGTATATAAATTACTCATTACAAACAAGCCGTCAAAAAACACACGTGCTGTCCCCCACGCGACTCATTGTTTATCAGTCGACAAGAATCTACTGCCATTGACTCTGGCGAACCTAAATGACCAGATGCCGATATCCCACGGACGAACAGGCATTAATAGAAGGCTATTGTCTAGTAGCTTCCCTATTGTATTGTTCTGACAGTTATATAGCGGGCACCAATTGAAGGTTTGCTGCTATATCAGGCATATGATATTTATCTTCTCATTTTCAAGACTTATGTCTAACATGATATTTTTATGGCAGATTAAATTTTACCCATTTACAACACATCGCCTAACTTGGTCGCGCTTTATTTAAATTAGAAGTGCGTGTTAAAAGTGCATTAAAACTGTTTACCTGATAACGTGTGAGATACTATCAAATATGGCCAGCGAATGTGCGAGCAGGGATCGGTGCATCACACATTTTCGCGGGAACATTTTAATTAAATTTTAAGTCAAATCCCATGGTCTTATCAAGCAACCTTCATTAATGAATTAATTGTATTTCTGAATATATTTCCATGTAAATGATTTTTTTCCTCGTGCAACTTCAATGAAATGAGTTTTTCCATATGCAATGAACTCGTATCTTTAGAATACACGTAAGCACTTTCGACAACCTTTCCCGCCTTTGACTGCATTTATTCAGTCATGAAAAAATACCGGGAAAAAGCTTAAATCTGACCGTTAAATTCTTCAGTAATCTTTTAACATTCAACTGGCAATTCTATTTCAACATCTCAATTTTTTTACGGAAAAACTCAATTCAAACTTCATTTTCTATAGTTTCAAAAACTTTTCAACCGACACAAAAATCTGAAATACTAGTTAATTTTAATTCCCATTGACTCACACGAATCTGGATTCATTTATCCTGGTAACTAAAAGCAATAAAATATGTTGGCGCGTCCATTTTTGTGATTGTCAGGGGATTTAATCATTGAAGTGAGCATAAATCCTCACTAATTGAGGAGTGTCCGCGTCATCAACGACGGCTCAAAAAACCCATTTCATTCAAGATACAACCTAGCGAAATTTATCATTTATGTACAGTATTCTGTTTTAGTAGGTCAGTCTGCAGCTGATGTATTGGAAAATATTCAAATAGTTGAGTGAAGTTTCCGTAAATTGTTGACTGAAAGCTTTGAGAGACAAGATATTTGAGCTCAAACTTTATTGACACATACATTTTACTTTATATTTATTTGTTAACGTTCAGAGATCAATCGTCTGTCCGAATTATTTTATCAAATAATATAAGGGGCTTAACAGACTGGTTAGGCATAGAATAATTTGACAGACATTTACCTTCATATATTGTCTACCTAATTTTTTCAAATGACACGTGCTGATATTTTCTTTGCACGCGTTGGATGGAAGACCTTGGCAATGAAATCCACTTGACATAAATCATTATCTGCTTGCAATAATTATCAAGATAAAGGAGCAGCACAGAAGCAGGTGTCCAGCAGGCTTTTGAGTCGGGCCATGTCACCAGAGCATCAGTTCTCAGCGTCAACGTCCAACGAATACATTCTTTTATGTCATATCCTTAATATTCTTAACTTTTGCCCTAACTTTGAGAACAGATCAAGCTATAAACTTTGACAAGAAGAAGTTCAACAAATATACGTATGATTCTTAACGGAACACATGAATTTATTTTTATTAAAAATCTAAGTTATGAGTGAGACTTTAGCCTGCACTTTGTACCTACTTAATAATTGTATTATATTGCACTTATAACGTCTCCGCCTTCTAATCTTTTTCCAGATAAGCTCGTCCTTCACCTCAACCAATTAAGGGGAATTCCCACTCAATTCGCAAAATTTTCGCAAATAATCAATGAAATTTATTAATTGAATGATTATTAAATTGAATACTAAATAAAATAAAAGACATCGTGATGAAGCTGTATTTCAGTCTGATCGTTTGCGCTGTGATGTCGCAAGCCCGCGCCGCCATCATGCCCAGCTTCGTCCACCTCGGTTTCTGCTCCGACGTCCCGCGGATGCCGGAATTTGACATAGAAAAAGTCAGAGGAATGAGGATTATGTCTTTTATTTGGATTAGTTTTACTCATTGCTGGTATAGTGTGAACTATTTCTCAATAATTTACCGATTTCAGTTGTAAAAATGGCTAAAAATGTTAATTTTTTCAAATATTTACTGCCGTTTATCGTCTGCTTGTACCTTTTGTGAGCACGTGAAACCTTTTGTAACTCGGATTTGAATGCTCACTCACAGTAGCGAGCGCTTGCGTTAAATCTCGATACGTCACTCGCATTCATAATGCCTTATTATGTCGCTAATGCGCTCTACACCTCTGTATATTGACAAAAATGGATTCCATCTATAAATTTCACGCATATCCATCATAACTCCATGTATCACTTATATGCACTATACCAAGGATATGCATTGAGCCGCAATGCATCCACTCATAAGCATCGTACCTCATTATGTTCACAAATGTGCTCTATACATCTATTGAATGCTTAAAATTTGCTGGTTAGAAAAATAAAATCGAGCTTGCATCTCATTCAGGCTATAATGTAGTAATCTAGGCATTAATATGGATTAAATTGAGTGCCCCCTGAAGTTTTGGCGTTGATGTGCAGTACTCGGAACGCTGGTACGTCATCCTGCAAGTGCCCAACGAGTTTGTCCCAGCCAAGCATTGCGTCACGGCCAACTACACGAGCATTACCAGCGGTGAGACTGTACACATCATCATCAATTAAACACAAATACATTACAATAAAATAGATCTCCCAACAAAATGTACTGCTCGCTCAAAACGCTCAAAATTTTTAATTAAGTTGCTATCAATCGAATCATATGAATCAGTAAATAATAAAATCGAATAATTTGATTAAGAAATTATATTGTTTCCCCTCTCTTTCCTGAATACCAGAAATCATAAAAGTATGGTAATCTTGACCAAGAATTCGTAGCCATTAATAGGTCTGCACATTCACTGTCTAAATTCATGAATCTGTTCAGTATATGAGTATTGCGAGGCCTGATTCACATTTTTCTCTACAGCAATTTGATAGAACACTCAGCCATTCATTGAATTTTAGTCACGTTGTAAGCATGTTCTAAACTCTGACCTGTATCAGTATTGATCTGAATGTATGGGTGTCAACGACCAGCTTTTCTGAATATTCTGCTTGCTCTTAGATGGAACATTCACGAACCGAAAAAGCGGTTGCGCCGACAACCGAACTGTGATCCACTCTCTGGTAGACCTGCAGTTGGTCGACCATGACTACCACACTTTCATCATACAAGCGCAGGACGAACGGCCAGAGATCGGCGTCACGGTGAGCACATATTCATTATTTTCATTTTATGATACCATTTCCTGATACTATTGTATAATACTATAACGTGATGCCATGGCATGCTACCATTACATAAGCCCCCGATCTCTGCCGCGTCTTCGTCGTGGGGGTACCCTGGCCTGCGCGTCGGCCGGATGCCCGACTTACTCGCGGGCCGGGCCAAACGGCAGAGGCCCCCCCGCCCGGATCGCTACCGGACGGAGGCTCCATCATCTTTTCCTCTAAGGGCAGGGGAACCTCGGCCTCCCCTTCCCCCTACCCACACCTTTGGCCGCCTTTCTCTCCGGGGACGCCCTATGCCCTTCTCTCCTCTCACCTTTTCTTCCTATTCGTCCTTCTTCTCCTGACCCAGGGTATCCATCCCAACCCTGGACCGGACCCCTGCTCAGTCTGCTCCCTCCCGGTTACATGGCAGCACTACTCGTTTCGGTGCTCCATGTGCATCGCCTGTGTTGAACTGGCTGCCTTCCTCGTACAACACGATGTTGCGATTGCCTGCGTCCAGGAGACGAAGCTGTCAGCGGCCTCCCGCCCTCCCTCTTTCCCTGGATACGCGCTGGAACGTAGGGACCGTCCCGGTGGCCACGGTGGCGGTCTCCTAATCCTGATCCGTCACGACATCCCGTACACCGGGCGTGACATTTCTCTCCTTCTGCGTGGCGACGCCACCATGGAGGCCATAGCCATCTCCACTACGCTCAATGGCTCCCCTCTCTGTATTATCAATATATATATCCCACCAGCCACCTCCTGCCCCCCGGGATACTCCCCGGACCTCTCCGACATTGTCACCATTCCGGACAACTGTCTGATAGTGGGCGACTTCAACGCCCATCACCCCTCCTGGTTCTCCCACACCGAGGACCAGAGAGCAGCAACGAGAGGGATCACCATCGATGACTTCATCTCTGGCTCCCCCTTAGCTTTCCTCAACGAGGATTCGCCGACCCGCCTCCCCTCCCACGGCCCTCCCTCCTCACCGGACCTCGCCATCATCACCGGGCAGCTGCTACTCAGCACCTCATGGGCTCCTCAAGTCGCCCTAAATTCCGACCATTTGCCCATCCTGCTCCATCTACCTCCCGCCGTGGAGTCTCCGGCTCCCCGGTCTGCCGCTCTTACACTAACTTTAAGAAAGCGGACTGGCATGCCTACACGGCAGCAGTTGAAGCAGCGCTCGAGGCAGTCCCTCCCCCCACCTCGTGCGGAGGCGAGTCGACCCTCAGGGGCATCCTGGTGGCTGCTGCCAAGCAGCACATTCCTGCGGGATTTCGTAAGGAGTTCTCCCCTGCAGTCAGCCCTGGCACCCGGTTGCTCATGGAGCAACGGGATGATATCAGGGCGCATAACCCTAACGACCCCCGGCTCCCCGATCTCAACCTAGAGATCTCCACTTCCATACAAGCCCATGCCAGGAACACCTGGCGGACGCATCTCGCCTCGTGCAACAGGCGAACTCACCAGGCAAAACACTGGAACCTTCTCCGCTCACTATCCGGAAAACTTAGCCGCCCACCACCCAACCTGCCAATTCAATTTGGTCAGACCCCCCTCTCGTCGCAGCGCAAGATATCCACCGCCTTCTGCAAACTTTTCACCTCCATCGCTCCGCACTCCCAAAACCCATCCACCCGCCGCCTAATGCGTCGAATTTGGGCTGAGCATCCCCTGGACAGGGAGTTCGCCCCTTTCACCCCCAACATGGTGAAACTCGCCATCGGAGTCGCTAACAATTCTTCCGCTCGGGGTCCGGATGGACTCACGGTCCTCCACCTCAAACACCTTGGCCCACGTGGCCTCCAGTTCCTCACCCACATCTTTAATATCTCTGTCGCCACGGCCTCCATTCCATCTATATGGAAAAACTCAATAATTATCCCGTTACTAAAACCAGGTAAACCTGGTAACCAGGGCTCCTCATACCGCCCCATCTCCCTCCTTTGTCCAGCGGTCAAGATCCTGGAACGCCTTCTACTCCCATACATTTCTGATTCCCTCGTCACGGTTTCTTCGCAACATGGCTTTAAACCAGGGCACTCGACAGTCACCGCCCTCCTCCCGCTCGCGCACCAGATTGCGACGGGTTTCAACTCACGCCGTCCCCCAGCACGTACAGTGGCAGCTGCGGTCGACCTATCGAAAGCTTTCGATAGTGTCGACCATCCTTTCCTCCTTAGCATGATCGCGGCCTCAGACCTACATCATAATCTGGTCCGCTGGCTGTGCTGTTACCTTAGAGGCAGGATGGCTTCCTGCCTCTATCTGAGAACAAGGTCCCCCTTCAGAACAATCCATTCTGGAGTTCCCCAAGGGTCGGTCATCTCGCCAGCCCTATTTAACTACTTCATCTCGGACATACCTGTTCCGACCTCTAACATCGCCTCATATGCAGATGACCTCACTATCTTTGTGTCGTCCCCGAGGCTCGACGCCGCGGAGGCTGATCTCTCTGAGCTTCTCCGGGGCGTCTCAGACTGGTCGACCGCCAAGAAACTGGCCGTGGCTCCTGGGAAATCCTCAGTCACGCTTTTCACCCCCGACACTCACCAACCCCGTCTTCACCCCTCTGCAACAATCTGCAATGGCATCATCCCCTTGGACAAAACCCCCAAAATCTTGGGGGTCACTTGGGATACCCATTTTACCTTCTCTCCTCATGTCAGAGCCATTGCCACCAAAGCAACAGGCTCTCTACGCATCTTAAGGGCCCTGGCCTGCACCAACTGGGGCTTCTCCAAGGAGGACATCATTGCTACATACCGGACAATTACTCGTCCAATTTTAAATTATGCTGCCCCCATTTGGTACCCAGTAGCCTCACGCACCGCAATTGCAAGTCTCCAAATCATCCAAAACTCAGCCTTGAGACTAGCCACCGGCTGCCTCAAGATGGCCCCAATCGCCCATCTCCACTGTGAGACAGGCGTCCTCCCCCTGTCCGCCCACCTGGACCTGGCCTGTGCGCAATTTCTAGCCAGCGCCCTCCAGCCTTCTCATGCTTCTTTTAGCATCGTCTCCGCTCCCCCTGGAGACCGCCCCATGAAGGCTTCAGTCAGGACAAGATTCGGCCACCTTGTGGCGCCTTTCCTGACTGACGGCAGGATGCCCGGCGGTGCCTACGGAGAAGCAAAACGCTCACTCCGAGGGGAGATAGCCGCCCGTGTTGCCGCGACGGCCGGTAGCAACGCTATCCTTTCAACCCCACCACCACCGATTGCTGCAGAAGAGGCTTCGCTCCCTCGTCCTTACCGCTCAGCGCTATCCCAGCTACGCTCGGGATACTGCAGCTCCCTTGCGTCCTACACCCACAGGGTCGGACGCTCCCTTAGCGCCGCTTGCCCGGAGTGCGGGGATCCCCTCCAATCCGTCCAGCACCTCTTCGCCTGCCCCGCCTTCCCCACGTCCCTCAGCGTCTCATCTTTGTGGGACAACCCTGTGGAGGCGGCGACGTTCCTGGTCACCCTCCCTGCTTTCGCCCATCTTCCCCCTCTTCCGGCGCCTCCCCTCCGACCACCACCAGAGCCTCCGCCCACGCGAGCGTGACGTTTTTGGCGCAAGAAACAACAACAACAACCAGGCAAACTTTACTGAATTAATGACGCGAGGAGATGTTAGTGCGCAATGAACTCTAGGGTTCGTCTCGCAATTAAATACTGCACTGGCTGACTTCTCTATTGTGCATGAAGAATCACGAATTCTCTTGTTGAACATCTTGTGGGAAAGAGAAAACATTCCGAATTAAAAAAATTATTATAACTGAACATAACTTTCAGAATTCCTTATACACCTTCCATGCGCTGTATCAAATGGGCTTGCGATGTGCGATGGCTTGCGACGAGCTTCATTGCGATATGCGCACCCAAACCATTGGTGCGTTGTCAATTATCACGAATTAACTTTTCTCTTACAATCTGGTCCCATACTATCCATGCCAAGTTTTCCTCTAACACTGAGGCCTGATTTATTAGTCAATATAAATTAAAATTATCAGGGAGTGGAACTTTTCTTCAGAAGACGGTAGATCAAAAGGCAAGTTTCATGAAGTAGTTTTTCTTTATTAAAAATCGCACGTGTATAAACATCGTTAATAAAGAAGAACTACTTCCTGAAACTTACCTTTTAATCTACCGTCTTCTGAAGAAAAGTCCCACTACCTGATAATATAAATCAACGAATTCTCTGGTCATCAATTGCACATGTATAAACAAGTAAATTCTGCCATCTAATACCAATAAATTAAAATACAGACAAATACAGGGAAAATTATACACGAATGTCACCACATCGATATAAATAATTACTGCCAGGAAGAATGTACCTTAATCTAACCACATCAATACTAAAAATTGCATGAAAAATTCACACGAATGTCACAAGTCAATAACAATTACTACACCTTTGAATCAGCTATGAAAAAGAGCGTTCGCGCTTACAAAATGTCTCATAAAAATCAAGGAAATCATAAATCCCAAATATTTTGTTTGTGTGGTTTGATCCAATAAAAAAAATTCATTCTAACAATGATGTATATAGTTAAAGCATGAATAAAATTAATTTAAACTATCCATTATAACTCGCATAGGAACAATTCACCTTAGAATATGAACCTAGATTCGTGTACCCGAGAATAAATTCGCTGATTGAGCGTGAATTCAAATCAATGGAGTCCACATAGTAGTTAATTTTGAATAATATTGTTTTCACCTCAAATAAGCGATCAAACTCACAGGAAATGCTGGACCCGTCACGGGGATCACCAACCTGCCATTCCTTAGATGCAATTATAGATACTCGCCCAGGTTCTATCCGGCATTTAGTTTTTTTTTTAGATTTAATTAACGCATGACCCTAGCAGGTTTAATTTGCATTCTAGATCCAAATTATTTCTTCAGTGTCTTGTCTCCGAAACTACTGTAGTAACATACCATGATTACCACTAATATATTTTTTTAGATAAATCAACTGTTTTTACGTCTAAATACAATATTATAACGTAACTCGATGGTGGATGACCTAAAACAAAA